TGTTGGTCAGAGATGGTCAGTTTTTTTTTCCCAGAACTATTCCCTGACTTAAGAGACTTAAGCCAGGAGGTGGCCCAGAGGCTGCTGCTGGATGAGCATCCGAGCCAGATCCCCATGTGGCAAAACGCTTTTCAACACCTACCCCAACCACACTTGTGACTAACTCGTTCACTCGTCACTAACTACCAATGTCCTGCTCTCACATGGATGAATGAACAAATTCTTGTTGATATGAGACAGATATAATTAGAAGCAGCCAGATCAAAAATTTATAGGGTCTGTGATTTCAAGGTCTCCACAGGTTAAGGAACCACGGGTCTGAAGGCATGGCTCAACTATTTTCCAGTGGTAACAGCTGGTCTAATAGAAGGTGTTTTCTTTCTTCTCAAACCCAGCTTTTCCTTTTACAGCCCAGCCAAGATGGTCAGCAAGAAATCTGCCTCTGTCCCTTCTGCCTGACACACATGGTTGTACAAATCACCTTGCTCAGGCAGGCAGGCTGAGATTTGCCTTTTCTTTTGGACATGGTTTTCAGTTAAGCCATGTTCTCCTCCCATCCTCAAATGAATTAGTCCCTGTGCTGATTTAATTTCTACTAGTCAAAGAGTGAATTTCATTTGCTGATTGAATAAAAGGAACAACAGATTAAAAGAAAAAAATAAACATCAATTCTTACAGTCAGAGAAAAGACTTCACTACAAGAGACAGGCATTTAATTCTGTTTGCCCTAACACTGCACAGAAACGTATTTTTACCAGCACAAAGTCTTTGACTGGCTCTCTAGATAGAATTTTAATGTGAAATTATTATTTAAATTTCACTCTTTTTCACACCAGCAAGGATTTTGTGGTAGGAGATCTTTTAAATGTAAAGAACCACCATATTTTTCTTTTTGTTTTTTTTTCAAAGTAATTTGGTGATGTGATCAGCTCTAAATTATCAGCTCACGATCATAGCCAATATCCCTGACTACCAAACACCAAAGAAGTCAGCCCCAACCTAAACAAACATGAAGTTATTTTTAGAAGTAGCAAAGCAGATGGGACTTTCAGTAGCTTGTGAGCACACATGCCCCCCATTCAGCCTTCATGAATGGCTCCTTACAGATGGCAAAAGAATTCAAGAATCTGCTTCCACTCTTCTCTTTTTAGCAACATTGCATCATTCACCGCAGGGCAACTACCCCCCTAAAATCCCAGAAAACCTGCAGGTCCTCCAGCAGAAAAGCTTCTGTCGCTGGGCTCTGTGCTTGAACACACAACACAAACTTTACTTGTATGGGTCAAAGGACAAGACCTTTTCACTTTTAATCCTTATTTCTCCTAACAGGTCTCCTCTCCCCTCAAAGAAATTCAGCTAAATTCCAACCAAGGTGTTCGGCTTACAGTAAACACAAAAGCCAAAAAATGAAAAAAATCTTTTTATAGATAAACCAACCTTTCCTAAACAGTACTTAAACTCAAGCTCATTGTTGCACCCACCTTGTCTTAGTTTTGATCAGAATTAAAGCTTCACATTTTATATGAACTCTTTTTCCTAATAGTTTTATGCCCATAAAGAACCATCTTGTTCTAGCGAAGATAATTCCTAGATGCTTTCATCTATGAGTTGTCAATAATAAACTGAAAATATTTACCCAAGGGATAACATAGTAAAAGAACCATTAGTTTGGCACTGAATTTTTTTTTATTTCAATAATCCTGCCTGAAAATCTCTTCTTCAGAAAGGGAAGGGTTTGGAAATATTTTAGAAGGAACACTCCATATGTCAGAGTTCCTGTGATGCAGATTAGTGGATCAAAGTTAGCACTTTTAAGGAAGACCTCCATTTCTCTCTGTTATTGTATGCATGAAGCCAAACCAAGAAAAATCTCCCTGCCTATTTACAGACAGATATATATTGGAATTAGGGCTGCTGGGCTCCCACTGTTCCTTGAGAAAGAGCAGCTAAAAATATTGTGAATCTTCTTTTCCTTTTCATTACCACTGAAGGTAAGAAAAACAACAAGAAAAAAAATATATTTCCAAGATACAGCAATAAAACCAGCCAAGTGCTCCTCAGACATAACCAGCTGTTCTTGCACACCTACCCTAGACACTAACCCACCAACTCGACTTGCAGTGCCAACTGGAATCAGCGGCTTCCTACACTGTTACTGAGAGCCCAGTGTGGCTCAGGAGAGAGAAACCAGACAAAGAGTGTTGCCAATTTTAGTTTTCAAAACTGATAAACACAAGACTTGAGGACCTGAGGCATTTGCTGACTTACTGTTCTTGCCACTATATGGAAAAGAAGAGGCCTCTAGTTAAAAGCCATGCCTAGAAGCAACTAAACCTTACCGGATGCTTCATTCAACTCTGAGTAACTAAAGCAGTCAATGTACTGTTAATAGCTACTAGAAAAAAAGATCACAGCTCATGACGAAGTCCTTGTCATAGGTCTGCCACAGAGAGCACAACAAACTGTGACCAAGCCACCAGTCAGCCTCACAAGGCAGCGAGGATCCTTTCCAGCTGTGCCAGATGAAAACTTAATGCAGCTTTTACACACAGCTTTTGAATAGCCATGAATAACCATAAGTCTGTCAAAACCAATTTGATTGCAATACAGGATAGCGCTGTTTATAGATGACACTACTTTATCAGACGAAGCACGGGAATCAACACCTGGGAGTCTCATGTTGGAATAAGTGAATAAACCTAGGCACAAGGATTATTTAGTGCACAGTGCAATTACCTTTCAGCTACTCAAGACTCTGGTCTTGGCCCTTTTGCCATCCTGAAACCAAGCAATGCAAAAAAAGTAGTGTAAAGGCAGTGCCTGTATCAATTAGTCACCGTTACGAAATATAAAGTTATTACACTCAAGCCTCAGTAGCTCATTACTCCTAAGGGACAAGTGCTCGCATGAACAAAACAGAATCACCTTCTTCTGACAGTGGGTGCAAAGATGACAAGTCCTGGTCCTAGTGTTTATGGAGCACACGTGCCGTCTGCTACATTTAGCTTTTGTATTCCAGAGAGAAATTGAGATGCCTGTGAACCCCTGAACACCAAAGGCAAAATCTCAGTCCCCACAAAACTTTCAGGTAGACACCCTGGGACACAACAGTGGTCCTTTGCATGCAATAAGCTAAAATTTGTAGCAATTTTCTTTCACCGGTACACACAGGACAGCTGTATGCCTGTAACTCTGCAAATGATGAAACCTTCGGTTTCTATACAGCAGCTATAGTCACAAATATGGTAAGACTGACATAGAAAAACATTGAATTTCTCTGTCCAAATATAGAACACTTGGTGCACAGCTGTCTCTAGCCTACAGATAGCATTTCACCCTTCAAAATTAAAAGAAAACCCAACACCTCTAATACGCACTGCATTCCCAGCTCTTCCTTTTGTCTGGCAAGCCTAAACAACACCAGGACTTGATAGCGGGTCATTGTCTGCAACTGATACGTTGCCAGAAAACGTGCACAGCAACAAGCAAAAAAAAAAGAGAGGAGACCTCACTCTGTGCCCACTCCAAGCCTCACGGCACGCAGGGACTACAATACAAAGGCTGAAAGATAATTCCCCAGTGAAGATGCTTTCATAGAGGTCCCTGCTTTGCAAGTCATGCAAGAATCTGGTGATAAGACATGGGTAAGGTTGCAAGACACATTACTGTGGCCATACAAGCATAGGCTTGTACACAGGACAGAGGAGGCTACTCTATATATACACCCTTCAAATACCAACAACATTTGCTTTTGTTCCAAAAGGGTGGCAGGGTCAGCAGAAGAGCCCTCCATCCCTCCCGGGAAGAGCCACAAGAGATCAGGAAAAGGCTCTAAACAAGGAAAAGTCAAATTTCCTGTTGCAAGCAACAAAAGAACAGTGATATTTTAAGTGTCCTAAATATGAGTGCTTGCAGGTAAGAGCTAAAAAGGCTTAACATCACATCTGAAATTCTGACTCAGGGCTGCCCTGGTGTAATTACATGTCAAGGTTTCTTAGCTGCTGTGACCCTGACATGGGCCTGCTGCAGTATTTCTCCTGTGGCAGCAGGAACTGACAGCACTGGCACGTATGGTGTGAAAGCAGCATGTGCTGTGCAGAGCTCCTTTTCAAAAAGTACTTTTACTCTTCAACAAAGAAAGAAAGAACCAAACAACACAGAACACTAAACAGCACAGTGTTCTTACTAAAGCATGAATATCTATACAATTTTCTAATTAGAGGGGTTTTTTTAAAAAGCAATTAAAGTCTATTTATATGTGACACAATAAGTTTGGATCACTCTGTATATCAAGCAGCTCAGTTAACACCCATCTTCATGACATTTATTTTTACAAGTCACAAACTTCTATAAATCCATACTATGTATCTCCCAAATCCAATTTTTGGCTAAAAATTTCTGGCTTTTTATGAGATGCAATTTCTAATCATTCAGGTCCAGAATATTAAAAAACAACAACAACAAACCATTAAAATGCATACAAGGTTGATTTTGATTACGGTAACTTTATCAATGTGGCTATTGTTTCACCAGAGGCAAAAAATGCACTACAGGTATGCAGCTGACAAAAGCTATTTACTCTCTCAGTTTGCAAGTCAGATGATGTGCCAGGTGCAGAAGGCACATACATACACTGTCATGCAACTACCCCTTACTACTGGCACATACACATACGCTGGGAATATTCTGATCACAGTTAAAAACAATTTGAGCACACATAAACCCCACTCAAAGACAACATATAAGCACCAGCTTGTTGAACAAGGACAAGATTATAAAGATTAACATATTTTTAAAATACATCTGGTTGCATATATTTGAATTTATTGCACCATATTGCAAGTTTTCACAGATTTATAAATATCCAAAGAATTCAAATAGTGACCATCAGGGGAGTAGGGGAGTTCCTAATACTAGCACATACACACACACACACATATATATATGTATATATGTATATATATATATAAAATAGACCTCCAGACTGCCTGAGTACTCACCAGTTCCAAACACTGCCGGTGCCCATATGCAGCAGCGTAATGCACAGTGCTGTACCCTTCTTTGTCTTGGATGGATGGATTAGCATCGTTCTGCAGAAGGAACTCTAGACACCTGTGGGCAATTCACTAACGTAAATGTCAGCTCACAATATTTAACAGATTCACTGCAACTAGGAGTGGCACTGAAAACTAGCTGTTAATTCTGTTTTTCTAGCAGCACCTCAAATAACCCTTTTCACCAATGGCTCCCCACACTCACCATTTTTGGTGGCTGCTTTTGTGGATACTCTAGATTACAAAATTATTTTCTATTACAAAACCTGAAAGAAAACTACACAACTCTGTACCATGATGTAAACAGCCTAGAACTGCTACTACTCATGTAAAACTCGTATCAAACTGCTGGCCTCAAAGCATGCACTATGATAAGCTGAAAAATAAAGACTTAACTGAGTTAATTTCCTGGCATGTATGTACATAAAGATATTCTCTTCTTTGTTGGCTTTTTGTTTTTTTAAATCATGTGTCTTTCAAAGGATCCCTTATGCTCTTTATAGCTCCTGCCACTTTTTCTTATACCAGCAAGAAACCATCATTTTGTTAACAATACTTTTTTCCATAGCTTGTAATTTGTAGTGAATGTAAGGCCGTCACATGAAACAGGATTAAAAAAAAAAACATCATTAAGCAGCTAGATGAAAACGTCAACCCAAGTAAATACATTGAGGAAGCCATTGGCTACTTCTTTTTGCAACATACATACTCAGTGAAAAGCATTAAAATAAGACAGCACATGATACTAAAGAATTATTACATTACTGAAGCAGTACATTTTCAATTAAGAAACAACAAGGATAGAAACATAAATATTAGGGACTATGTGCACAGAGAAGAGCATATAGCTTTTTTCTTTAGGTTAGCCCTCATTAAAGCCAAGCATTGTGTTTAGCAGAGCAATGAATGAGCAAAAGCAGAGTGTAAAACTGCAGCCCAAAGCAGTGGCATTCTCCAGAAATGAGGTCTAACTGCTTCATTGACACCAAACTTACAATGCAGCTTCTTTTTCCTTCATCTCACTGGCTCTTTCAAGTTCTTCAGCATTTTCATGGGAGTTACCTAAAATATTCTTTCTTCTTAGCATAAAGGACAGAAAAATGCAACTTATTTTCAAAATATCATACCAGAGATTTTGACTGTCTGCCACCCATCCCCAATCTCCTCTTCAAGGAGTTGACCTCCTCCAGCCAACAGTAAGAATTACACAAGTTAAATGAGCGTACTGCATGGGTCTGCAGCTACTAAGTTCTACAAGCAATGGAGACAACCATATGGCAGGTTATCATCCTGCAAGTCAGCACCAGAAAGAAAACCTGGAAACAGTTTGATCATCACTTTCTAGAATCTTTTCATTCCTCCCACAGCAATGTTGTGCATTTTGTTTCCGTTGCACAGAGGAACTCAAGATTAACACAGGTTTCTTCTTCCTACAGGAACCTGCCAGTTCTTCTCTGGCATTTAAGATTCAGAGCACTGTGAAACTTTAATCACTGACACTAAACCAGTCTATCTTGAATGTGCATAAGCTGTGTTGTTAACTCTCCTCGCTTTCTGTGAAATATCTTGGCAACACTGTGTGGATCTCCTGTTCAGGTTCTTTAGATTCTTCAAAGAGTTCAGCATGTCTTCATATTCCTGCACACTCGGATCATTTTTGGCACCTCTGCTTCCCAGCTGGATAGATGGCAGACAGAAGACTACGATTTGTGATCTTACAATCATGAGCCTGTGATTATCATCTTTCTTGGCCATGAAGGCTAACACAGAGTAAGTTTACAAACAGCCATCATCATGGATTAGTAGCCTGAAAGGTTTGCTAATTTCAAACCCAGTGTAACACGCAAATTCCAGACTGGATTCTGCAAAATGCAGAACAGTATTTTCTTTCCTTAATATGCAAATTCCCATTTGCAATATCAAGATTTGACATTCTTCTCGTGGGTGCTAGCAATAATGGGTTGTTCTACAAACCCAGGGTCTGTCTGATGCCTACTGACTCAGAGACAACTTAATTATTAATAAAATAACTCCTCTAAATATTAACATTGTAAGTTCAAAGACAGCACTTGTGCTATGCCAAAGTCCTATCTGCATCTGCTTTCAGTTAACTACAAATCAGTGAGATAACAAAACAAGATTCCTTGAACAGAATAAGCGATGATGTGGAGAAACAGTACCTACTCAGAAACTGCAATCATGTATGTAATGAAAATGCTGTTGTGATTTTCATTGCAGGAAAGGATAACAACAGTTACTTAAATAGCTGAAACAGTAGAGCAGTCTTGCTGCATCAAGACTTCTCCCTGCTCATTAAGTGCCCACATCCAAAGTTAAATAATCATCAGTATTCTTTGGACTGAGATTGCCTGACCTTGGGAGTTTTTTGCCATTCAACAGGGAAAAAAATATGCTGACCTACAAAATCATGGACTGCAAATAGCATTTCATCTATGTAATATGGCTTCTTTGAGAACACCTCAAACTGGAAAATTTAATGAGAAGACAGCATTGCCACATCAGAATCAATTTAGGTTTGGACTGTGAGGGCAAATAAAGTCCACATATTTCTACCAATGTTCAGGATGTGACTAAAATAAGCTGCTTTTTTTTTTATATTAGTGATGTAAGTAGCTACATCCTTAAGTTAGCCAAGACCTTGTTTACATGCAGGAGCCTCACCTACACAGAGACAAAAGCTGAAAAACACACATCAAATCACCATTCTCAACACTCAAGTGACACCTCACCCTGACAAGACAGAATTAGAAACAGCCAGTAGTGAAAGTCTTCCTTCAAGCTTGCTTTGCCTGTAACACCAAGCACAGACCTCTGCAGACTCTGCTGCCTTCTTCCCAGAACTGTTCAGGTTTGAGGGTGACAGGGAAGACACTTTTTATATCAGTATTATCACAGCAAATTATGAAGAAGCTACCAAGGCTGTAGTACGGCATCCAAACCTCTACCATAAAGTTAAGCCAAAGTTTTCCTGCAGTGGTTCTGAGGTGGTATTCTGTGAGGAATAAGGCAGATGTATTTTTACCATACCTCACTATACAAGCAACCACAAAAATTGTTCCTTAGTGTCTAAAGGAATGAGACAGAGAAACATGGAATGATCTAAAATAAATATAGGTTGTTAACAGTTTTAAGGGAGATTTAACAGCATAATTGAGCCTGTTTTATACAGTATGTTATAAGGAAGAGATTGCAAAATATGCAACTATCTGGGAATTAGAAATTGCAGTCACTAACCACAGGATTTCTAAGTTTTGCAGCTGTTTTCCTCCTTTCTCACAAGAACAGCAGAATGTTCTGCCAAAGAATATTCCCCAGGCCTCTATCTTTTTGAAGCCTCTAAAAAGCAACCTGTTTGGACAGGGTGTGCATTTTTATAAGTTCTGACAGTGGAGAGAGACTGATGGGTAGATCCATCCCATCTTTTCCAGAAAGTCTGTCAGAATGGCCAGACGTTTGTCTGTCACAACAGTCCATCTGGAAAAACCTCTCCTGCCGTCTCTCGCTCCATCCCTTCTGATGGACATGCAACATCCAGATGTAGAAAATTCTCTCTGTTTACTCTGGTGAGGAAACCACACAAAGGAAAACAGAAGACAAAATGTGAAAATAGTTCAGTAGGACAGGGTGGCTGTGTGTTACATCAAAGGTAAACCATAGAGCTTAAATGTTACATCATCTGGGAATTTGGCTTATAGTCAAAGCAACTCAGTGTGGAGTTATGCATACATCTGAGAGAAATTCCTTTGATAGCAGGATCATTGTTTTGGCTCAAATGACATAGCACCATGAAGAAAATAGGATTACACTGATTTAGCAAAACACTTCAAACAAGGAGAATGAAGAGGCTTTCTTACTTTCGATCCATATCAGAAGCAGCAGCATAGTGCAAAGGGGTGCGTCCCCAGTCATCTGTTTCATTAATATTGGCTCCCGTTGTCACCAGTGCCTCAATACAGTGGAAATGACAATTTGCAGCTGCATAGTGCAAAGGTGTCCTGGAACATAAGTGACAATTTGTTACCTCATATTCCAATATGCACTACTGAGGACAGTGATAAATCTTAATTCCTACAGATTTCCAGCAGTCAGTGTCAGTGCCTTACATTCCTGTGATGAAATGCAAAGTTATGCAAAACAAAATACTGTGTTAATTAGGAAGTTTTGGTGCTCCTGCAAAGCCTAACAGGACACAGATCCTCAATCTGTGTCTTACAAATAACCTATTCCCAGTGACAGCCTCAACTGTTGCACTGCACACACGCTCCTTTCTCCCAGTTGGGAGGCACTGTGTCCCTCACAGCATCTTATTTAGCTGGCATAGCAACACTCATAGCAACGCTTCATATGGGGGAAAAAAACCTCTAGGAAGCACGTCAAATAGCAGTCATCCTTCCATCGTAACCCAGGTGTTGTCTTGCGCACACAAGCACGAGAATTTAAGCAATAAGAGAAGCAATAATGAAAAAAAAAACCACCTGTGATATTTTTAAACCAGAAAACTCTAGAGGGTTGGATGACTTTTAGGTTTTTAATGAAGTCTGCACCTGTCTGCCTGGCATATAACTGCAGCAGCAAGAGTTCTGCAGGGAAGACCAAACTCCTACTTTATTTTACTGTCCTTTTTCATAGAACATGTGATTTCCAGACTGAGGTAGTGTTTCTCCCTGCCTGCTAGATTCTTTTTTTTTCTTTTTCAAATCAGCTTCATAATTTACCTACCTCCCACATTTGTCCTTCTTATTAAAATCTGCTCCACTGCTTTGCAAGAGTTTTATACATTCAACATTACTGGAAAGAGAAGTAAAGAAAACAAAACATGAACAAATCAGAAATTTACATCTGTGTTGCCCTCTGCCCCCCAAAAGGAACAAGTCATTATAAATTCTGTATGATTTGCTGTGCAAAAGCAGGGTACAGCCAACCACAACATGAAATTCCATCAAACAGAAAATGAAACTTTAAAAAACTATTTCATATTTTTCTAGAAAATCTCAAACTTCTCCTCTGCAGAAGAAAATAATATTTCCAAAGAAAAATCAGTAAATGTGATCTGAATTCAGTGTGTTTGGAGATTTTCAATGGGAACTGTATTCTAATACTTCCCACACTGAACTGGTATTTTATAAGAGAACTTTAAAAGAAAGTTGTTGCTAGCTTATAAAATACCAGTCTAATAATGAAGAGGTGACATTTAACGAAATCCACCCCCGTTCAGCAAAGCATTCAACAGTAAGCACTTTGCTCAAATCCTGTTTACTTAGTGAGATTTAATCACAAGAGCCACTTTTAGGTTTATTCTCATGCGATTTGTTGACTATTGATAGTTTTAAGCACATCTCTAAGTGCTTTGCTGAATAACTGGCACAGCTATTTAAAGTGACTGTCATATCAATATTGCATTCATTAAGCAGATGAGCTGGACTCCATTGTTCTGTATCTCTTGAAAGAATTCACCACATCATAGCTGCTTCTTCATCTTGTTTAAAGCCAGGTGATTTTTAATAGAAAATAAAACTGAAATAAAGCTGAATTCTCACATTGTATGTAATTCAAGAAAATAACTGTACAACTCCAACCCAGAAAATTATATAAAGAAGCACAGCACTTTCCAAGGCTCCTTGTCATTCCTAGGGGCAATAAATCATTAGTGTTCACAATCAGATGAGCAGACCTTTGAAGTATGTTCTTTTCCTAGTACCCATGCAACTCACTTTAATGTAATGGGAGTAACAGGTATGTGTCAGGAAAATAATGAATGCCTTTTATATGGCTCCAGCTCCAGAAAAAGGAAAAAAAAAAAGACTGGATGCAATACTCTAAACTGCTATTGCATAAAATAGCTACAGAACACTCATCACAACACACTAAAAAAACCCCCACTTGTTTAGTGACGACAACGGTAGTAAACCACTGGAAAATGATGGTTTATTTTCATTAGCCACTTTTGCTTCTTACGAAGCCTCACTTTCTCTTTAGGACTTTCAGGTTGTTTTTATTATTCTTTTGGGGTGCAGCCTCATTGGAAAGGTAGTATCTGAACTATACTATAGTAATCTCCATCCCAGTAATGGTCATACCTCCTCTATTAATGCGAGAAAAGTATCAAGAAGAGTAATACCGTAATAATAAAAAAAACCATTTTGATCAATTTTATTAGTTTTTTGTAATAACAAAAATCTTTGTTATATACATTTTGGGCCACTGAGAAGAAAAAACAACTTCCAGAAAGACTGCCAAGCATTTGCTTGCTATAACCACAGAGAAACCAAGCTGAGTTCTAGCCAAGGCTCCATTTCAGCTGTTTTCTGAGCCATGAAATACAACAGAAGAGTCAAAACTTAATGCTTGCCAAATGTTTTGTCCTTTTGCTAGGTGAACTTCACAGCACTCCACTGACAATTATGTGGAAATATTTAAACTAAATGGATGCTACGCTTACAACTTAAATTGACATATTTCAGTTTTCATCTGTTTCCATTTCTGGCCTCCCAGCACTTATCCAGTATGCATCACTTGAGAGAACAACAGTCTTTTGACTTTCTAATTTGCAGACTGGGGGTTGTTTGTTTGTGTGTTGTTTTTTTGTTGTTTCTTTGGTTTGTTGGTTTTTCTTTTAGAAACTTTTAAACTTGCACCTGAAAAATGGCAAAGAGGGAGATGAGCTGCATTTGGACTCCAGGGTTGCAATCTGATGGGCATGGTTGCATAACTGCGTTTTCAGACAAGGACACCATCCCAAAGTGGAGGCCAGGAACAAATCCCTTGCCAGCAGCATCCCAAGACCTACAGCTCCTCCTCCTCACTCTCTTTGCCCTAGGAACTGATGATTTCCTGCTGACTGCTGGCCCTCAGTGATCACCAGGCAGTCCTGGGTGAGTACGCAGTACCCCCCCACCCAAAGCTGAATCAGTTTTCACAGGGGTATGGAAAGAACAAGTTTTACTCTATGCTTGAAATCCATGCTTCAAATTACAACCCATCTCTCTGCAGTAGAGAGAATAAGACCATCTCCTTTACTTTGCAAGCAACTCCTACGTGAGGACAGTGGCAAGGCAGCCTCAGGTGACCCAAATTTGACATAAGACCGCTTTGCTTCCCATGCACCACAATAAATTCCTCTGTGGATGGCACAGTCAAGTTGGCTGGCACCAAATCTGCAACGAAGCCACAAAATAACTTACAGCAGCTATAGTCTCAGCTACTCACCCTCCTGCAGCGGCAGCGTGGAGGCACGTTCTTCCAAAACTATCAGGGGTGTCTATTTCAAAGCCTGCAGACAGCACGTGCTCATTACTAAACAAGGACACTATGCTATACTTTTGTCCTAGTTAAACCACAAGAAACATTGCAGAGACAGAAAAATCAGTTAGTTGTTAAAAAACAGAACACAAGCAACTACAGTCAGAAAGAGGTTGTCACAGGAACGGCGAGCGGCTGCTCCAGTTTGGCAGCTCTATAAAAAGAGCTGCAAAGGCGATGAGCATCTATTTCCGCATCCAGCTCTGCGCCACATCCTTATTTAAAACCTTGTGACAGGCATTTATGAGGCAGATACTTATCAAGAGGACTGCAACAGCAGGACACGAAGACACAAAACATGGAGAAATGAGGAAAAAACAGAGAGTCGGCCTGAACATGAAATGGGGCCATTTTTATTTTATGTGGTTTTCAGGTTAGAAAGAGGCTTCCAGGAGCATGCAGGGATATTCATCAAGATGCACAAGGCCAAAGATGGCAGCCTGGCAGTATTAACTCCGGTCATCCAGAGCTTTTTCCCTTCCTTCGTGATCTGGTGGTCAAGGCCACAGCACACCAAGGTTTAATGTAATGGGGTATGCAATTGCCATTTTTCATACTTCCTTTTAAT